TTGATCCAATGTTGATGAATTACTTCAAAAAGGCTCTAGTAGCATAGCATGTCCACCTAACTGAGCAAATGTAAACCTTTTAATGTAATAAAAAGGTTTAATTTCTATGACTCGTTTTCAGACAATCCTGGCCAAAAACTTTGTGGACAGTACAAAATTGTAGCAAATTATATAATACATTTAGATATATTGCATAATATCTGTCAAACCCCCACACCCCCATCTCAATGTTGCAGTCCAATATGATATATACAGAGTTGCCGATGCGAAAACGATTTCAACATTGTTTTGGGGGAGTGGGGTGCGTAAGTTATAGCATTAAATCCATCCTAAACGCATATGAGCCTACCTGTCCACATGATTTTGGCCAGGATTGTAGTTTCTAACGGCATTTAATTAATTAATGATGTCATCAGGAAGAAAATGTATTTTTGCACATGTATCTCTAACTCGTCATAGAAACAGCAGCGTGCCAACCCAAAACCTATAGTATGAATAATTCAACATACTTATAAAAGGTGTATAAGAAAAAATGAACAGTTTCGAAACGTCTCTCAATTTTACAAATCTCGTTCATATTTCAATCGTTAATCAAACAATCAATCTTTTCAATCAAAAAATAAAATAACATTGAAAAAATAATATTGAAAAGTGGGAGGTCAATTTAGTATTGTTTCAAAAGCGATAGCAGCTTTTATAACCAGCTTCTTCTAGACACCAAACATGCTCCATATCTAGATTTAGTCATTGATGGTCGGAGCGGATTTCATTAACTCAGAATTATACAGGTTGCATCATGATCACTGTAGTAAACTGGATGAATCATGGTATCAATAGGTTTCGTATTCGTGTACACGTGATCCAACAATCCTCCAAGAATATGTGTTGCAGTCGAAATTACTTGCGTAAAACCTTTGTTATGTAAGTTATCATGAATCAAATTATTTTCAAAACATCCAAGTTGAAATCGCCACACAGCAATGTAGGTGTATTAACTGGCATGTGTTCTTCAATTAGCGCGAGTAGTTGTGTCTGTAGACAGGTATGCGGTCGATAGATGACGAAAATTTCATAATTTGATACCGACAATTTAGACATCTGACAAAGGTTTTGACATATATGCTGATATTCGACGTCATCGAGATTGTAGTATATAGCAATACCTTTACCACGACCAGAACTATTGAGCAGTACGCTGTATCTGGAAAGTGCAATTTGTTCATCATTAACTGTGTTATCAGACAACCACGTTTCAGATAAGCAAATAACATTACTTCCAAGTATAGTAGGATCATATCGTAAGTCATCAATATGTTTCCTGAGTGAGCGAATGTTCAAGTGGGATATTTTTAAGTGAGATGTTCCATGCCATAATGATGGTTTAGTATTAATGGCAACAGAACTTAGACGATATGCTTCAATCAGTGCTTCTTGGTTAATTTTAATTTTATCAGCATCAAACGATGACAGATACAGTTGACTGATCGACTGAATTCTACCAAGCATTACGTAGGCTTGAGCAGCTTGGTTAATGCGTTCCATGTGCCCAACTAGACGAGTAGGTTTAGCGATTGTTTGTCCTAAAATTTGTGCACCGTTACGGCCCAGGCTAATTTCAGTGGAAACTGTATCACTTTGACTTTTGTGGAGTTTTGTACTCTTTTTCTTCCAACAGTATACTCGAAAGAAATTCTTGTCACGGAAGTCAGATTATCCTGCCGGTTAGCACATTGCCGTGCTTTTCTTCCAGTCTCCGTGTCATCAAATTCGATGAGAATAGCTTGTACTGAATTTTCTGGACCATGGTATACAAATTCTTGTTCAGTACCGAAGCTGCCATTAACGATTCCATCCGAAAGATCAACGTTATATGTGATCATTACCCTTGAGTTTTCCTTCAACTTCACCACTGAAAGCAGTGGAGTGTCCTTAATGCTTCCATCCTTGTTTACATGTGGCTGGTACGATATTATCATCGGGTGAATATTGATAGCACTAAGTTCAATAACCTCTCCTTCTATTTCGTTTAATCGTTGTTCGTTGAACCTATTTACCTCCACATTAGTGCCAAAGAGGTGAACAGCTTCGACAGGTAGGGATGAAGAATTCCTAGATCATAGAAGCTCTATATCCTTTTCTGTATGTTTTCCGAAGTGTATGCGATTGAGAATATCTGCATATTCGCCGTCCTCACCTTGTCTGTGATTATGCCGTAATTCCACAACTTTGAAGTTTTCCCACAGAGATCGCACCACATGCGATAATGCAAATTTTTCGTTCTTTGGGGTTTGAAAAATGTACCTCGCCTGAACAGGTCTTAATTGCATGAGATCGCCAAATATGAGAACAGCAAGCCCGCCGAAATCTTTATCATTTTGTTTGATTTCCTTCAACCGCAGATTCACCTTTACCATAGACATTTCGTCAACAATACGAATTCGAAACCTGGACAACTCATGTCTCTTTTGGTCATGCTTTTTGTCGCCAAGATTAATAAAATCATTTCCGAATGGCATATTGAAAGCAGAGTGTAGAGTGAGACCTTTAATATTTTTCGCTGCAGTACCAGTTGGTGCTGTCAAAACAATGAATGGCTGATCGGGATGTCTATCGTCATCACGGCGGAGTGTAGCTTCAGTCCACTTTGCGATGGTTTTGATCAATGTTGATTTTCCCATTCCAGCACCACTATGCACCACTAAAAGCGGAGCCTCGCACTTGCTTAGTTGATCGTCGGTCATCTTGTGCAAATCTCGAGAATATTGTAAAACTACATAAAAAACTTGGCGTTGATCAACATCTAGCTTCTGTACATCCTTCGCCATTGCAACTGTATCTGAGATATCGAATCTATGGTAGATGCCAAAGTCATTTCTTTCGTCAGTGCTTCCGTCTAGACCTGCGATATTACCCGGGTGTCTTAGAATGTCATTAGCATCTACCTCCATTGCAGTTTCTTCGTCGTTTCCCTGCATTTGTTCGTGTTCTGGATCTAAATCATAACCAATGTGACTAGCATGTACATATCCAATGGAATCTATAAACGCTCGACCCTGTTCAATGTTGTTTTTGTGAGGAAAAAGGACGTTTTTCACTTTTTCAATCATGCCACGTTTTTCTCTGTATAATGCTAGACATGTATCAAAGTCATTGGGTGAAAGATCCTCTTCGATTTTCCAGGCATGATATAGCAGCAACTCTGAATATATGAACGCGTGGGGTTCAGTGTCTTCTCGGTACTTCTTATATCGGAGAACTGATGGCCGAGTTCGTATTTTCATAAACTGTCCCTGAACATCAATCACTTCAGGTAGATATTCTACATCACTATCATCATCGGCTCCTGTTACAATTGCCTGCGAGCTTCTTTTATCGTTGGTTTTCTTAAATTCTTGCACACGTTTTGATGTGATAGGGCACGTATCATATAATGTAGAAAACTGTGCCAAAGAGATTTTGGATAGAGCAATAGCTCGGGCTGCATACTTTTCATGTATTGATGAAGAATTTTGAACATATTTTCCTTTTTTCCAGGAATACATATTGTCTTGCCTGTAGTATCAGGGGCCTGAGATTGATTCTCTTCATATTCACAGTTCTCATCACAACTTTGCAGATCGTCATCATTCTTATCGTTATCACCAACCTTTCTCAGGAATTTACGACGATTGGAAGGAAAGTTCGAGGCGACCCATACAGTTTTGATATTTGAATCTGTGAGATGTAGATTAGGATCAATGCAGTAGGGAGCTTCACATTCACCCTTCAGTCGGTGTGTGAGAAACGTTTCGCTATGACGTGCATTTTCTCAGATGATTGCTTTTCAGTGCATTCCTTCAATGCGTCAATCAAAAATGGCATGGTGCCTGATTCATCTTTAGTATAATAATCGGTGATATAGGTGATAATACCATAGTAATCTAAACATACTTGTATATCCATATTTGCATCCCATGCGTTCAACCATTCAGGATTGTAATTGTTCACAAATATTTAATTTAAAGCTCTTTTTAAAATAATGACTGTACCTCGAGCAGTAACGCGTAGTGCGGCAGACTTTGAAATGTTCTTTCTTTCTAGGATTTTATCCACAGAGACTGTGATGTATTGATCTTCTTTTAATTCCTCCAGACTATCTTTCACAGCGCTTAGAATATTTTGGTAACGCTTTTTAGCATTGTCGTATTCTGTATCCGATGAAAATATCTCTCTCTAGCGGTTGGGCTATTATCGTTTGCTCACTGGGGTATCTAGGAAAACCAAACCTACAGTTGTTTCCTTTCTTGCGACAGGTTCGTGTGTGTTTGTGTGTCTGCACCTCACGTACCTTATCAACCACTTGTGGATTGGATAAGCTGCATGTCGTGAATTTATCCACGAATGCTGCTACTATACGACACTGTTCACTAGTTTTCCATCTCTTTATAGTCAACCCACAGCACTCCATGTATGTGCAGTGCGCCCCGTACCTGAAATTCAACTCTGTAATTATAGAATGTTGAATGCATTGGATTGTTCTTGCCAGCAATAACATTTTTCACCATAGCTTTAACCCGGTTGTTGAAATTTTGTGTCACAAGGAGTACATTCTTGCGGACTAGCTCATGTAGCGATTGTTGGTCAAGTAGTTCTTGGAGCGGCTTACCATCAACGTGTATTGTTTCTTTTTCACCGTTGATTTCGTACGAGATCGTTCTACCTTCTAATGCAAGTACTGACATGAAATTTTCCATCCATCTAACCTCACCCGATGACAACGTCCAGAAGAAAGTGAATGGTCCAAGATTTTCCAATTTAGCCATCATTTCGTAGCATTTCTTTCGACAATATTGTGGTGAGTTAGGAACTGGGTCCAGTTATGGAGTATGGATCATCCATATTATGAAGTAACCCATTCTCCACGTTTCCCTGCAGATAACTAATGTTTATTTGTTGCTCCAACTGGTGTCTCTCTAGGTAATACAAAGATGCAAACACATAAGGTGTACTCAAGGAAAATATCCTGTTGATATTATATAATCGTTGAGTAAAATATTTCCAGGGAATTAATTTGATGGCCCTAGAGTAATTCAGCCCAAATCTGCCAGTACGGTGTAAATGGGGAAATGCGTTGATGTCCCAATTGTTTTCTCTCATCAAATTTGACGGTATCTTTCCCTCGCCAGGAGCAATCGGATAACTGTTCTTGTACCAATGATATTTCTGGGCAATCATTATCCAAAATGCACGACATTTTCCCCTTGAAATGATATTTATTTATGTTGTCTTCATCTTCTTGATTGGACTCCATCGCATTATTCCTTATTTTTAGTGTGAAGTTTCTTCGAAACTTCACAGTATTGTGATGACTGGGGGGAAATTCAAATGAAACAGTCAGTCATTCAGTAAACTTTCCAGGGGGTGTATATGGTATATGTTCGTAGTGATTTATCGTACTTAGTCTGTGCTTTGAAGGTTATTTAGGCAATTTCAGTTGTCTTATTTAAATATTCTTTAAGCCTTTTGTCAAGTTTTGCCAAGTTTACAAATATTTCGAGGAATTGTTGTCGTTATTGTAAATTTTATAACATGCGCTTCTCATGTTGTGTAAAGGATCTTTACCCCGGAACACCCGATTTTTTCTTTAGCAGCGCAAATGCGCATGCGCTATCAAGCCGTAGATCATGATGGCGTGACGATGCTAGGAAGGAGCGAGACAGTGTTGTTTTGAAATGTATAAACATTTCAGACATGAATATTGAAGAAAATCTTGGAGAATCTACGCAATATATAAATTGATGTTATGCATTCAATGAAGTGCCGATATTATTTAGATGTTATATTCATTTTACAGAGCTAGCAAGGAGCTAGAACAGTGCTTTTTTCAAGTGTATATATTAAATATTTCAGACGTAAATATTGAGTCGAAAATCTTTGAGATTCTAGGCATTCAATTGAGTGCCGATATTATTTTCACGGTATACCCATTATACAGAGGTAGGAAAGAACGAGAGAGTGTTGTTTTCAATTATTTCAAATATATAAACATTTCAGACATGAATATTGAGAAAATCTTTCAGATTCTACGCAATATATATGTTGATGACCTTATGCATTACCGGCGCCTAATTAAGTGCCAGAAGATATATTGTTTAGGCCATGTATTCATTATATAATGGCCACATTGGCTGTATAAGGTGCTACACCACAGAATAGATGGCTACACTCAGTACAAAGAGTGAAAAATTGCATCAGACAAAGCGTAAACAACTATTAAACAGAAGCGGGTGTTTGTATGTCGTTTACGAAGAAAATAACTTGTCAGTTGTGATCGAGACAAAAAAAATCAGTTGAGTCTGCAGAGCTCTTTATTTAAACAAGAAAGACGAGAAGTTGTAGCCAACGTGTTATCGCCAATCGCTTGGCTTGCCAACAAGCTTTATGAAATAGAAGAAAAAAGCAAGGAGGTAGCCAACGTGTACCGTCACGGACTTACTTTGTTTACTGTATAGCACAACGTCAACAGTGCAAACTTGTGTTCAGTGCAACGATAACTCTACCAGATCTTACGAGAATCAGTCTGTACACAGAGCCGTATCAAAGCTTGTTAAAACTGCTGTAAACACTACTATAACTGTGAAACTATTGAATCTAAAGTGACATTATTGAATACACGCAAAAAGCTGAAAATGACTCACGAAACGCAATGTGACATTGCCATTGGGAATATAAAGTCAAAGGTCAAAATCAGACTTGTTATTGTGAAACATGTCACAATTAGGTTAAAATGCGGAAGCGTATGGAGCGGATCCATGGAACGGATATGGGGATAAAATATAGAACGGATGGGGATAAAATGCGTTATTTTAATGATACAACGTCGTAGTGCTTATTATTCATAACATATCTTATACAGCTATTTGGTTGATGGGAATAATCATATTAAATAAGTTCAGCGTATCAGTAGCCTCGTTAGGATGCTTTTAGCGACAGCTGCAAATGCAAATGAAGTTTTAGAATATGCAAAATTTGGGTGTTGGTGAAACAATTTAAATTTCGAGTTGTCGCGTGTAGCATCACAATAAATAAATAAATTGTATCAGTTCCACGAGGCACGTTTCTGATCTGTTAGGATTGTTTCAAACGTGGCACTACTCATGTGCCGAATGCATTATAAAGTAGATAATGAGATGAAATGCCTTTGGTAACTGTTTATTTCGTAGTGTAGGCCATCAGCCTTTCTTGGTTGTCGGCAACCCTATATAGTTGTTGCAGTGTCTTTTTCAATTCGAAACTTCACACTATCCTTGGATCCCTAGTTATTCATAGTGGTTGTCGTGGAAGACCATCAGTATACATTCCGAAAGAACTTCTTCAGTTGTATTTGGATTACAGGTTCACGTTCAAAAAGATTGGAGAAATATTTGGTGTAGCTAGCAAAACCATACAAAGACGAGTTGTTGAATTTGGCCTGAAGTCTTGCAATTACACTATGCTATCAGATGAACAACTGGATGAACAGATGTAAGAAATTTTTACAATATACATAAGGATATTACTTGACTGTGATTGGTTGATTTCAGTGCAGTTAATCCCAAAAAGCAGTGCAATTTTCTGTAATCACAGTGCAATTTTTCTGTAATCTTTACATGTCAAATGTTTCCCCACTATAATAAAATAACTGCCCCTCCCCCTTCTGAACCAATATTTTTAGGTGCCTTTTTCGGTCAAAAATACCTCATGACCCCACCCCCTTCTTTGCCAGCCCACCCCCGGTCATAAATAATGAATGGTCGCTTACCTATACTTCAAACACTCATTAATAATTCATAAGCTTATTGGCAAATCATGTAAACTATAACATGTCACATGCAGTGGCTTTAAACCTGATAAAACACTCCTAATTAGTATTCTCTATATAAAGAATACTAATAAGGCAGTATCTATTGTTGTTGTGTCCACATTAGTATTTTTTATATAAAGAATACTAATAGGGCGGTATATCTATTGAATTTGTATAGTCGTGTTTGAAGCCATTTAATAAACTCGCAGGTCGTGTTTTATTAGGTCTAAATTAAAGCCACTCGCGCTGAGCGCTCGTGTCTTTAAACCTAATAAAACACTCCTGCTCGTTTATTAAACAGTACTTCAGGTATAGCATAACACTGAAGAAAATGCAGAATATGAAAAGCCACAATAACTAAAGTACTAGTACTCAAGTAAGGTGGTTTGTCCATTAGTTTCAGGTTTCAACGATAATTGATCATGCAATGAATTTTTTATTGTTATTATTATTATAATTTTTTTTCCACTTTTAATATTGTATATATTAATTAATGTTACTTTATTATTTATAATGTTTTCAGATCAGACATTTTAAAAGTATTTCCAAACTGTGGATATCGAAGAATGCGTGGTTTTTTAACAGCAAGAGGTTTACACATTCAATGGCGCCGGATAGAAGATAGTATGAAGCGTGTGTGTCCAGAGGGCATACTAATGCGGTGTTTACAATTCAATGTTCTTAAAAGAAGAATCTATAATGTAAGATCACCATTATCACTTTGGCATATAGATGGCAATCACAAGCTAATAAGGTTAGAATTCAATTAATGTGCCATTTTTTGTATGTTCCCTTGCCAGATATAGGATTATTGCCATTGGACACTTTCTTATAGTAACACGGTTTAAATATCATTTAATTAAATTGATATTACCAAATAAGGCAAATGTGGGTGGATATACAATACCTAAAGGTGTATATATGAACCACTTGTACCTGAATGTTGATTTGTTTACTTTGTTAGATGATTAATTGCTTGTATTACACCCAAATTTGAGATGGAAATTGAATGCAGCTTGCATTTAGTAGTATTATTTTATATTTCATTTTACTTTCTACTACTCTAGATGGGGTTTTGTCATTCATGGATGCATTGATGGTTATTCTCGCCAGATCACCTTTCTGCACTGTAGTTGCAATAATAAAGCTCAAACAGTTCTACAACTGTTCCTTGATGCTGTGGATGTTTTTGGATTGCCTTCTAGAGTGCGTGGAGATAAAGGTGTGGAAAATGTGGATGTCGCTTGGCATATGTTTACTCATCCCATGCGTGGCCCTGATAGGGGGAGCTTCATTTCTGGCAGGAGCTGCCATAACCAACGCATTGAAAGACTTTGGAGGGATGTATTTAGCGGTTGTACACATATATTCCACAGTCTCTTTCACCACATGGAAAATGAAGGAATATTAGACATCGGGAATGATCTGCATCTCTATGCATTAAGATATGTATTCACGAAAAGGATCAACAATAGTTTAAAGACATTTGCAGAAGGTTGGAATCATCATCCTCTTTCAACTGAAGGCAACATGTCACCTGCTCAGCTGTGGGTTTGGGGCCTGAGGAATCAACTCATTGACATGGAACTTAACGATGTAAGGTATCCATATAAGTTAAGTAAATCGTGCTTTAGTTCAAAGTATCCAAGTGCTGAACATCACTGGCAAAGAGCAATTGATGTATTGGTGCACGTGTAACTCTCAAAATGTTTACTTTGTCTTTGCGACCAATGGTTCAAATTCAGCACGATAATCTGGCGACTGAAACTTAGGGCTTACTAAAATGTCTATGGCGCCGAACACCGAAACATTGTGTGTTCATGCCTGTTTTGTTTTCATCGTTTGGTCGAACTATTTTAGAACTATTAAGTAGAAAACTTTGTATCATAATGTATCAATCAATTCCATGGGTTCCCGTCCCACCCACCCCCGTTTATCGGGCATTTGTCATTTTGGCGAAAAAAATTTGCAAATGGCCCCACCATGGCCATGGGGTCCAAATAATACAACAAAATCCCCACCCTTGGGGACTTATATTGACGCAAGTGTCCCACCCTAGGCGACAAAATTTCCTGAGGATTTCAGAACCAAAAAATCGAATGCAGGCTATACTGTATCTCGTGTCAATATACCTGTTATTTAAAATCGATTCTGAAGCCATTAGGGACCGGTCATTATTTATGGTGGGGGGTGGCACCGAAGAGAAATGTTTTTCGTGGCAAAAATTTTGCTGACCCAACCATTAAGAAATCAAAAATTTGATTACCCAACCTCAAGTATCATTTAAAAAATAAATACCCACCCCTGGCCAAAAACGTTACAAAAGGATGTCATTCAGTTGTCACACATGACACAAGTCCTTTACCACTTCTGTGATACGTTTGATAACGTTCGGCTTGTGAATGTTTGATAGTTTGATAACGTTCGGCTTGTGAAATTTACTGACTTTTCTGCAGTCTAAAGTTTCATGTTGTCTGCACATTTACTTTCTTTGGAGACACCATTACAAACCGAAAAATGATGAAGATATAGATTGATTTACAGATTGTATTGACATATGACTGTTGACATTCATCGAAGTTTTCAGTCTTCAATATTTGAGTGAGTCATGCTTTGGAAATGATAATAAATTTTTATTACCCAACCTTTGAGTTGTTTCGTTTTTCATTTACCCAACCTTTTACTTACTCAAAATTTTGTTTACGCAACACTTTTCTCTTCGGTGCCACCCCCCGCCATAAATAATGACCGGTCCCTTAATACGGCTAAATGGCGAAACAAGCGACAAATATTCAACTTTTTAAGCTCGAGCAAATTCCCCACCCTGAGGCTAACCTGCAGAAAGCAAATGCCCGACCCAGGGAACAAGTACAGTTGAAAGTGCAGGGAAAATTATGTGTAATACGTTTTCTGTAGGTTGAAATAAACGATTATGGAATTGACGACGATGGCCCATCACCAAATCCTGCATGGAGTGAAGATGCATCTTTCCCAGATGTTATAGAAGTCCCTGACATCTATCTTCCCATTCCTCCAGATGAAGTAGACAGTCACCTAGCACAATTTGACCCACTAGCAAGCAGCCAATATTTTGGAATTGATATCTATTTGCAGGTCCTCACGCATTTAATTAATATTTTTGACGATAGATAAAAATGATACATTCATTATTAAGGCTTAGCTTTGAAATTCTTTATTTGATAACAACAATTACGTTTACTATTAGTATTTCAAGTTCACGTTAGGTAATTGCAACGTCAGTGTCTACGTGTAGGAAGTAACCAACTCACCTCAGATAACTACAATACTGGTCAAAAACAGGTGGTACGCATGGTTTTAATGTCAATGCAGATTTTTGACATATAACATAGTGGGCAAATGCCTTGAATACTCTCGGGCCCGTACCTGCTAAATGGCGGTCAAATAACATTGAAATTAGGCGAGGGAGGAGTTGGAAATTCGAGTTTATTTCTGCTCCTCTGTGGTTTGCTGAGATATATTGACCAGTATTGCAGCCTACCTTTTGGAATACATTGTTTGGAAATTTATAAACAAAGTGTCCAAGAACAATGGTCAGCCAAACAGAAACAATAACAAAATGGGAAGAGTACAATACTGTAACTATTTTGTTCAAAGAATGTTAACTATACCACCTTATGTTTGTAATATTTGTAAGATATATGCCGCTCAACTGGTCCTAGTTATGACGATCCAAATCCTTCACACTCCCATTTTAGGGCTATATCTAAACTCTGCACGAACTTCTTCTCACTTGAATACACCGTTGGTAGATGGATAATGCCAAGACATGCAATTGATTTAGGGAGGGAAGCTTTTTCATCATCGGGTAGGAATTTAATACAAATTAGGTGCGACAAGCCTCTTGGTGGTATCGACCTGTGCCCGGTTACAAACTGGAGCAAACATTTCAACTTCTCCTCACTTGATGAATTAACATATTTTAAAAACCAATCATAACTTTGTTTCTCTGAGTAGTCGGTTGGTTCTTTTAAAAGCACTTGTGATATGAACTTCTCGGCAGTCAAGATCATTTCTGTGTTATAACAAAACAAATCACGACAGGACGTTGGGTTCTCTCTTATAATCTTGCGTAGGCCCATAACATCCAACCCTTCGGCAAAGCTATCTATTTCTAACTTCCTGGAGTAAATTATTTCATTTTCCAGCAAATGTTGAACAAGCATACCTACATTTTGGTAATCTATTTTCTTCTCGATAGGCCAGTGTGATGCATTAATCAAGGCCCAGTATGCATCACACAAGGCATGACCTTCTAAAACATTGTGAATGCTGGACGTGTCATCGATCATCTCCAAAAAATTGTACAGGTTAGCTGTGCCTATGAAATAAAAAAGAAACAAAAAAATGGTTTATTTGAACAAAACACATTTAAAATAGAATATGTAAATAAAATTTCGAAAGACGTTAAAAACTGTAGATTTTAAAATACTAGAAAATTTTATTTTGACAAATATGACAGCGGCAATAGGAAATTTATTATGGCTAAATTTATTATCGCTATCGTATTTGTCTAAATCTATATCAAAAAGTTTATTGATAGAACATTTTACTGGTGAATAATTTTAAAAAGGTGAAGTGAAAAATTAAAAACCTGTGCATAAAAAATTCAATCGAACTCAGTTACTTTTGGATATACATGAAATGAAATTAAAACTAATTATTACCAAAATTAGTAGAGTGTCATTTCCGGAAGTTGAAAAGACAGTCAGAATGGCGTAGAAACGTTCATGTTTTATGACGTCACGGTGAAAGAATGCAGCGTGAATCTTGTACGTTATTTTACTTATTAGGAAGTTTATTTAGTTTGCATTCCCCCCCTCAGTGCCTTCCCACGAACAAAGGTTCTCCCTTTGCTAGAAAGCTTGTTTTGAGCTTGTAACTAAATAAAGTTACTAAATAAGTATAATAACATACAAGTTCCACGCTGCATTCCTTCACCGTGAC